ATTAATTTTTTTTTAAAAAAAGGGTAATTTAATAAAGCTTCAAAATATAAAGATCTTTGAATCATTAAAGATCTTTATATTTTGACACCGACATATATTTGATTATACATGTACAAGGAGATTCGCTACCATACCGACAAACTTGCAGGGTGTGTAGGGTGTACTGAGACTACTCGAAATTTTACATAGGAATCCAGGGCGGAAAATGCCGTAGCAGTGAGCTATGGTGCAAAAAATTCCTAACATTAAGGATTCGATTGCATTGAAAAACATTCTTATAATTCTCACCTCTTAATTTGAAAAGAACATGACTTAAATTTCTAAAATTGAAGATTAGAATTATTTTTTACGACACCCTAATTCCCTAACCCTTTCCACGAAATCGATTTTAGTGAATCTCTACTCAACGAAATAAACATTCTTGACGAATTTCAAGTTTAAGCCTAATAGTTCAAAAACGGAAAACTTTTTATCAATATGCCCCGAAACCCTCTTGAGAGTCGATTTCCGTCTTAACCGTTCTTAACGGATTTCAACTCAACAAAAGAAACATGCATACGAAATTTCATTACTGTAAGTCCAGTAGTTTGAAAACGGGAAATTTTTTCTTATATGTATACACCCCGAAACCCCACATCAATTTCAGTAAATTCCGCTCTTAGAGGATTATTCAACAAAGAAAAACATGCTTACCAAATTTCAAGTATGTGGATCTAATAGAGTTTATAGAAACCAGAATTTTATCTATAACACCTTCTTAATCCCTAGCAACCCCCTTAGGGATCGATTTTTGAAAAAAATTGTTCTTAGTGGATCTCTACTCTATGAAAGAACTGTCTGTAGGTCTAATAGTTCTGCATACAGCGTGATAAAACTGAGCGAGTAAATGAGTAAGTCGCGCTTTTCTCCTTCATATAAAAATACCTTACACAAATTTGATTAGAATTAAAATTATTCAATTTACCCTTTATTTAAGTTTATGAATTAAAAATCTGGAAAAAAACTTTCATGCTGTATGTGTTCTTAGTTATTAATTTCATTTAGCTTTGTGACTAACAGTTACCTAGGCTTAGGAAATATGTGAAATCTTTGGAAAATCCGTTTGTATTCATCCGTTTCACTATAAAGTAGAAGGACGTGATTTTTTTGAGTGGTAAATGCCATCTTTTGCTTGCAGAGCCCGAAATAGTTAATGGGTTTGGAAATGAGTATTTATTTCCGTTAATGTATAAAAATTTCTTCATTTCGTAAAATTACAATTGTTTTGCTTATTTTTTTTTACCTTATATTAAAGAAAAACTTTATTTTTTTGTGTACTAAATATCACAAATATAGAATGTATTGTAAAGCAGGAAATAAACTATCCCACTCTGGACGTTTAGAAGCATCCTCTTAAGTGTAATAGGTTTTCTTAAAATTACTACACAATCTCTCTGATTTGTACGTAACTATAGCAACAATGCAAAGCGAAATGACACCTTGCCCATCTGAATTCATAAGTTGCAAGATCGATTACTTAATTCTTTATTTACGTCACATTCTAAAGCAGCATGGTCTGGTTGACATAACTCGTAACATCGAACCATGATCATGAAGGTGACGAGGATGAAACCTGAGCTCATAACCCACTCATCAAACTTTCCACCACGGAGAAATCAGGACTTTGAACTTCGACAGATTAAATGTGTATCAGTCCCACGTAAGAGAGTGAGTGTTTTATTAACGTCACACTATAAAGCAACGCGAGAGCTATTGACCACGGACTTCTTAAATATGTAACTCGGTCAAGTGACGAGGATGATACCTGTGGAAGCTGCCACTCGCCTCTCCGAACTACCACACCACCCCATTGGGAAGACTATGACCAATGACAGATTTAACGTGCAATAGACCAGCGATCGCCAAACTTTTTGACCTCAAGGACCACTAATAGGATTTTTTAAGAGTTAAATATATTTATAAAAAAAATTGTGATCTAAGAACACATAAAATGTACCTGGTCAGTGGCGCGCACAAGGGGGGTCCGGACCCCCCCAAAGCCCTTGACTTTTTTCCGATTGATTCTAATTCTTATATAGTACGTAAAATTTAATTAAGTATTTGTTATTAATGATTAATTTTATAAGTTAATGCTAATTATTTGTTCAATAATTAGTTTTTTACTGTTTTTTGTTCTCGAAAATCGACAAAATCAAAAGGAGCATGATACAAGAATGGTGAACTTTCGACCCCGGACACACACCCCCTTGAAAAATTCATGTGTGCGCTACTGTACCTAGTTAATAAAATGAAACTATTAATTGTCACCAAATTATGAAAGCTTTATTGTTAAACCCTAATAAAATAAACAAAAAAAAATTGTAAAAACTAAACAATTAAAAAAATGGTTTAAGTATACCAGACTTTTAGCATTGTACATTCCTATTATGATGGATGTTCCTTTGAAATAAGATTATGGATACTTGGATCCAATGTTGTTACTGAAAGACGGAGAACTGCATTTATTTCAAGCTGGGATTGGTACCGTGTTTTGATAGCTGTGACAGACGAAAAGGGGCCTTTTCACATAAATAAGTTGGGGAGAATTGAATCAGAATTTTTATCACCTGTTCACTAAAAGGGTATTTACTTTTCATGGAAAATCAAAGCTTAGATCTTGACAAGGAAGAATGAAATTTAAATTTGAGAGTTTCGTCGGATGATAGGTCGATGGGGCTCTCTTTTAGATACATCAGTGCTTCTCAAACTTCCAATGTTTGCGACTCAATATTCAATCATACTTTGCCTCGCACCCCCTCCATACAATAGCGATCTATTAAATTCAATAATACTATGACGTTAAACATACAATACGACTTAAACCTCTTAAGCCCCAACGTATATAAACGTCTCGCTCAGCCACTGTGTTTATTGCTCTCAGACGTATACGTACGTCTTTCTGGAGTTATATCTTTTCTATGAACTGCTATCCATGAAATTATTCCGAAGGCTTTAGAAAGCAATAAAATGACCTGGACAGGGTTTGCGAAGGATTCACTTATTTCAGAGGATATGATTATTTATTCCTTTTTTACCACCCACCCCCTCAATACACCGCATACGCTTACCTACGTGCTAAACGGGGACATTGGAGAGCGAATCGCATAATTTTTAACCGGCATTTAAGAGATTAATTATAAACCGTACAAATGATCAAGATAAGTGTTAATGTTGGCATATAATTTTATATAGGGCCACTGGTAATTATTAAACTTGTCCTTAATTTAGTATTATTAAGTTAATTATATAAAATAGATTGTGCACTACTGATACATTTATAAGTGTATTATATTGTAAATGAGTATTTTATTTTTTATTATGATAAAATGTATTTGTTTACTTTCAGTAAGTTAATAATTTTTAAAAGAATTTTTTTTTAGACTTTTCAAGATGCTCGTGCCCCCCTCGTAGAGTATAATTTGAGAAACACTGAGATACATGCTTAAATTATTATCCTGAATTTTCACTGCATACGGATCTATTATCCACATATAAGAATGCAGCTACAGCAATACGACATGTTTATCGTGGAGTTATTCTGTGAAGTAGCGTTTTTATAACTTTTCACGTATTGTTATGAATTGAATTATGCTTCACAATGCATCTTAAAATATAACTTAACGTGATGAGTTAGTATATTCCACACATTTTTTGGGGACCAGTGAAGATTTCTCGCGAACCACCACTTAGGCAACCTCTGCAATAGACTATCTACACGGTGGGTCTTCAGGTGAACTAGGTCTTGAACTCATGACATGCAGGCCAAGAGTTCGTAAGTATAACCACTGGACTACTGTGGCCACTACGGTACCGGAGAAAAAATAATTTGGTTCCATAAAAACTGATGGCTTCAGTTGTTGCAACAGGGAGAAAACCAGACTTTCTGCGCGGTCAACTTGAAGTTGCCTGAGACGATTGCTGGGGCACACGCCAATACCTAGTTAAGGACAGCGTTAAGCTAATCCCGAGCCGGGAAGTTTGTTTCATCTAGTTAATATAACCGGAAATTATTCTAGTCAATCCCATAGTTTTTTTTTCTCAGGTGAGAATAAAGTATAAGTTTCTGTCCCTTTTTCTTTTTGTAGTGCTTAAGAATGAAACTTCCTCAAAGGTTTGGGCTGTCTGAAAAGGACTGTTATTAAATATAAATAAAGTTTAAATGTTTTTTTTTCCAGTTCTAAATTTTTTTTAAGAATTAAATATTTTTCGAGATATATATATATATTTATCTTTCAAAAAATACAGAGGAATACATATCACTTCTGGTATAATTTAATTTTGAGATGAAAAGAAAGATAAGCTCACACACATTATCAAACAAATAATATTAAAAAAATTTTAAGTCCATTTCTACTTATGCCAACAGAGAAAATTTTTACTTTAATATTACTTCTTACTAAATAATTACAATTAATATAAATATGTATACACGTATGTCGGAATCACAATATTAAGCGAAAAAATAGAAAGTGATTTTCCTTGCAATTTTCCATTTTCCTTTCTATGTAGGGTGTTGGGCTATTATTTTTGTTTGTTGCTATTTATTCATTCATTAAATTAATTATTCCCAAAAAAATAGTATAGTTGAAAGAAATCACATTCTCAGAAATTAGGTCATCCCAGGTAGGACTCAAAGCCATGACCTTTGGATTAGAAGTCCAACGCGCTATCCATTGCGCTACAGAGACACAAAGAACGATTTTCCTCTTTATATATGGTGTTTTATATTTTGTTTATTGCTATTTATTTATTAATAAAATAGAATTAATGGATTAATATTAGAAAAACTGTATTAACATCAAGTGTCATCCACTTCAAGATTTAAAAAATGTGTTTGAACTTGAATGGAATGAATAGAAAGTATTTTATCAACGATTAAAAATTTGAACAAGATATGTATAGAGAGAGTGAACTAATATTAGGAATTAAAAAATAAAATTTTTGAATGAAACAGTAGGACAAAATTTCAGTAGTTGACTGTGGCAGCCTAGAAGAGAGTCAAGGTCATAGACTTGTGGCCGGCATATCAAGAGTTTGAGCCTAGTGCTACTGAAGACCCACCGTGTAGAGTTGATGATGCACGTTAAATCTGTCGAGGCTCAAACTTTCTCCTGTTGGCACCATGAGGAAGTTTGCTAAGGGGAGGGGTGCCATCTCGGGTGTCGTCCGTCACTTGACCATGGTTTAAAATTACGGGGTGCGTCACCAATAGCCCTCGTATTGCTTTATAGTGCAACGTTAATAAACAGTTTATTTTTATTAGAAAACATACTCAGCAATCGAAATGTATGCACATGGATAAAAATTTCGAATTTAGAACAATAATTTTATTTTTGTAGAAAGGTGTTCTTTTTTTAAATATTTTTTTATTAATTTGCATCCATTGGTATCAGGCGATTATTGATACACCTAAGAACACGAAATCGAAGTTTTCACAGAATTTGCAACGGTTAGCTTTTCACAAAGCAATTTCTTAAAATAACTAATCGTTCGAACAAATGTATACTTAAATCAGTTTGAAAAACTTTTCCATTTAATCCGATGCAATGGAAAACGTACATTTTCGGAAAAAGTAATGGTTTATTAGTTTCTACGCTGCGAAACGTTTGATAGATATTTTTCTCTTTTCCCCATCCACGTGAAAAAGCAAATTAATCATAACTTGACTTTCAGAAAAGACTTAAGGTACAAATTATGAATGCACTCAGTTATAATTACTTGCTTCGATGCACATGTAGCCTATTACTGCTTTCTTATAGTGGGAAAAATGCTTCATTTGGCGCCGAGCTAAACCAAATAATAGCTAATTTTTTTTAAAAAAAATTGTATATCATGAAATTAAATCGTTGTAAAACAAGCAGAAGGATCTAGAAGCAGCGATTCTCAACCTGCGGCCCGCGGGCCGCATGTGGCCCAATGAGCCTTCTTAAGTGACCTGGCCTTGGCCCATTGCTTTTAGAAATTTACTTATTTAAAAACATTGTATTAAAAATTTGATGGGAAATTCTTTGGCAAGAAATCAAATATATCAATTTTGGTTTTTGCTTTCGGTGTCTTACGGGTACGAATTTATGTTCTTTTTCTATTTGAAATGGTTACGGTTAGTGATAACAGACAACAGTGGAGTAGCGACAGTTTTATGGGTGGAATTAATTTGTAACTATCTTTCATATCTTGCAAGCGAAAAATATTCGAAGAAAATATATCGTTTCAAGACGATTGGGAGGTTGACTATTTTGTAGTGAGAAACAAACAGGGATCAGTCATTGTTTGATTTGTCATGAAAGTGCTGTATTTAAAAAATACCGATAAACAGGAATCGTTCTCAATGACACTTTTCCTTCCACTCCCTTCCTCTTTCAAGAGATGATAAAAATATAGGCTTTCTCTTGAATAATCTTTACAACAGCACCAATATGTTTTGTCAGTGGTAATATCACAGCGATAACAAAGGCATCCTATGAGTTTGTTATATTATTGGTAATCATATGAAACCGTTTACTGAGATGCAGAACTTGTGAAAGAGTATTCCTTAAATACTTCTATTTTAGCGTTAGTGACAAAAATAAAAAATATAAAAAAAGCAAAACAGGAGTAATAATATTTTGATCAGTTCTCTGCATTTTAAATTTCCAATGTTATCTTGGTCTTAAAGCATTTCTACCCCACCCCCTTCTCCCATTTGTCATCATGTTGCAGCCCGCGGGAAATAACTAACATATGTATGCTGCCCGTGTGAAATAGCTGACATATGTATGCGGCCCAGCAGAAAAAAAGGTTCAGTTCCCCTGATCTTAAACATAGAAACATATCTAAGGTATTGAATAGAGAATGTGTGTGGTAGAAATATATATTTATGTGGGAGTTTTACCCATGATTAGGGTAAAAAAAGTATCTGAACTTTGGTTTCGTAAATAATCTCGAAGTTCCCTAAACAAAATAATCTACTACGTTATAAGAATGTTTATGCCGGAGAGGGTGAAACAATATTTTATTGTTTATTTATTGAACGTTTTTGGTTTACATATTTTTGAACTAAACATCTTGTTAACTACAGACAATATGTCTCAGATTTTTGAATCATAGACAGATGACGAGGAAGACTCCTGAACTGGCTCTCCCCACTCTAAACATCCTCGTGAAGACTTTGAACCTCGAAAGATTTAAGGTTAATTATATTCCATCACTCATTGGTAGTCTGTAAAGGATTGATAGCTTCTATAAGCAGAGAAAAAATTTTTGCTTAAGAGTTGCTAACATATGTGAACTAAACAACTCTTTTCCGATTTCATTTGCTTAAGTATAAAAGTTATGTCCCATATTTTTCGAATACACACCTCGTATATATTTCAACCGTTTAAAAGATTTAGAATTTGCCACATTCTGTTTAAAATTTTATGGACCATGTTAATATTAGAGTTATGACAGTGGATTTCAGGGTCGACAAGTTTTTGCTGAGAAGCAAATGCGTGTTCTGTTCGAACTAACAGCATATCAGGTGGAAAAATTTAGTCAATACTGCATGCTAAATGTAATATTACCCCTAACTTGTCAAATGAAGAGGAGTGAAAATTAAGAGGATTAGATACCAGTTGAAATAGCGTCCTCGTCAGTTATTCCCTAGCCGGTTTTCCCGAGTGGAGCTCGGGCAGGTGAAACGTATCATTCCTGCTCATCTTGGCTGTCGCTCGGTCACTGTAAAAATTTACACTCTGCAATCGGTCTTTCCCGAATTATTTCACATGTGCTTTTTATGGTTTCGAAAAATTGAAAAGTACCACTCGGTGGAATTTTCTACAAAAAGAGAACGTCTTTCTACTAAGCCACCCCCTTTCTTCGCGCTTGTCTGAAAGACACTTTGTTGACTATATTCCCCCAACAAAGAAACTAATCCAACACGACACTTGCTGCTCAAAGAGACAGTAAAGGGAGTAAGGTAAAAAGAGAAACAAGATTCTGCTGTCCAGATTGCGATGTTGGGTTATGTGCAGTACCGTGTTTTCGAATTTATCGTACACGATCAAATTTTGGTTAATAATTTCATAATTATTTATGTAAATTCAAAAGATGTCAGTAAAATTTGTTATTCAAGACAGAAGATAGGTTTTCTAAGCTTAAAAATAGTTAGTGTTAATTGTGACTCCAAGGTTTAATGATTTCTGCCGTATAGAAAGCCAACTTTACAGGTTAATTTATTTAAATAAATTTTTAGGAAATTTTGTATGCGAATGGTGCTATCATGTTTGAAAAGATATGTATGCTTGACAAAATTGACATTTTTGATCAATAATCGAGAAATAAAATTAACCTGGAAGAGGTTAAAGATGTATTAACACTTTCTCTGGCTATTCTGCGTCAGAACGTGATGTGGTGTCAACATAAAAGAGCCAATCACGCAACAGCGTATAGTATGGAATGATATCTCTAGCCAGAGCCAGTTTGCAAGTAAAGTGTTGGACCTTTTCAGATTCTGAAAAAGAGCTGCAAGACGTACAACAGACGACACTTCGTCATTATGATTTCGCTATGGCAGGAGATACAATTATGAAAAACGACTCTGCAGCAATTCGTCTGTCACTTATTCATATCCCCGATATTACACAGCAGTCAGAGTTCTTCCACTGATCACGAGTAAGTGACTCTCTGAAAGATTTCAGTTTAAGCCAGTGCTTCTCAAAGTTTCCCTATTTGCGATCCAATATTCAATCATAATTTTCATCCCCCCTCCATACAATAACAATGTACTGAATTCAATAATACTATAATTTGACGCTAAAGCTACAATACAACTTAAACCTCTTAAATGGCACCGGCGTATGTAAACGTCTCGCTCAGCCAAAGTGTTAATTACCCCGGACGTATATATACGTCCTTTCGAAGTATGATCTTTTCTATGTACTGCTACCCAGAAAATTATTCCAAAAGCTATGGAATGCAATAAAAGGACCTTGACAGTGTATCCGGCGGCAATGGGAGAAAATTGTGTAACTTTTAATCCGCAGTTCGATTAATTATAAACGAACAAATTATCAAGATAAGAGTTAATTTTTGTATATAATTTTATATATGACAAGACCAGGGTTCACTGATATTTATTGAACTTGTTCTTAACTTAGTATTGTTAAATTAATTATAAAGTATATTATGTAGTATTGATACATTTTTAAGTATATTATATCAATGTAAATGTGTATTTTATTTTTTATTATGTCAGAATGTATTTTATTTACTTTCAGTATATTAGTTATTTTTTTTTAAATATTCTTTTGTTTTAGACTTTTCAATATGCTCGCGTCCCTTCGTTCTTTGATTTCTGAGAGTAATATTTTTAAAAAAATATCAATTTTTTAATTACATAATTAATTTTGATAAACCGCTGAAAATGCCACCCAAATTGCCACCTGGACTATATATAGCACTGACAAAAATCTTTAAAGTTGGTCACGTTTTGTTATCTCATGAACATAATTGGATGACTTTACTGTATGCGAATAAATTTATTCGAAAGAAATATATAAAAAACAAATTTGACTTACTTTATGAACAACGGGCCTCGTAAAGGAATAATGTCTAAATGCTTGCAGAGTTTAATTTATTTAATTATTTATTTTAGTTTATTATTTTTAAAATCCAGCAAAGCATTTAAGTCTTTCAATTTTTGCTTATATAAAATGCCAAAATTACTCAC